CAATCACAGCCCATCAGCCCTGTAAACTTCCTGTAACTCCCCGTACGTCTAGCATTGCTCCGTTGCGGAAGTGTGATGTGATATTGGGGGTCCGAGGCTCATTAATTCGAAGAAAGAAGAAAACCGCGAAAACCAATGCACATTTCCACTTTCACCGATCCTCTTCTGCTATTTCGGAGAAAAAAAAGAGGGTCACGAATCCATGACCAGGACATGAGAGAGTCCACCCAAAAATCCAGAATCAGCCCGTGTTCTGCATGCCCGCGGCGATTCCCTTCATGGTGAGGATGAGCGTGTCCTCCAGCCCGGGGTCGTACTCGCTGCTGGGGTTGAGCTCCATCAAGCTCTCTGCCGTCTCGTCGATGAACTCCTTGGACAGCGGCGGCCGCGTCGCCGGCCTGAACTCGCCGTCCCTGATCCTCTTCAGAGTGTACGCCTGGCACACGTTCAGCGCCGTGATGTACGAGTCCCGCAGCAACAGCCGCTGCCTCAGGTACGGGTCGCTCTCCAGCAGGTCTTCGTGCCCAGCAACCTACCCATGCAAGTTGCAAGTTCAAGAAATGCACATCCATGGTGACATGATCTCATCTCCAATGTTGCAAGCAGCTGAAGGGATCGAAAGCTCATTCACCTTTAGGAGGAGGCTCTGTGTCTCGGCGTAATTGGCTCTGAGCTGCTCGCCGAAGGGCCAGAGGTCTTGGGGGACGAGGAGCTTGTCGTAGAGCGCGGCGATGCCGGGGTCGCCCTTGGCGAAGACCATCTCGAGGAGGTCGATGGTGACGCGGAAGAATGGCCACTCGTCGTACATCTCCCGGAGCGTGGCGAGGCCGCCGGGCTTGTCCATGGCGTGCCGGAACGCGGCGCCGAAGCCCAGCCACACGGGGAGGTGGAACCGCGTCTGCGTCCAGGCGAAGATCCACGGGATCGCGCGCAGCGACTCGATGCCGCCGCCCGGTTTCCGCTTCGACGGCCGGCTGCCGATGTTCATCCGCCCGTACTCCGTCTCCGGCGTCGCCGACCGGAAGTACTCCACGAAGCGCGGCTCCTGGAACACGATGGACCGGTACTCCTCGGTGGCCACCGTGGCCATGTCGTCCAGCAGCGCGCGCCACTCCGGCTTCGGGGACACGGGCGGGTTCATGCCGTGCTCTAGCGTCGCCGCCGTGAACCTCTGCAGCGTGCGGAAGCAGAGGTTATCCTCCCCGAACGACTTCTCGATCACCTCGCCCTGGACGGTCACGCGGAGCGAGCCGTTGACGGTGTTGGGCGGCTGCGACAGGATGGCGAGGTGGCTCGGCCCGCCGCCGCGCCCCACGGTGCCGCCCCGGCCGTGGAAGATGGTGAGCTTCACGCCGTGCTGCTCGGCCACGTCCACGATCTCCTCCTGCGCCTTGTAGAGATACCACGCCGCCGACAGCCGGCCGGCGTCCTTGCCTGAGTCCGAGTATCCGATCATGATCTCCTGCTTGCCGTTGATCCTCTCCTTGTACCAGTCGATGGAGAAGAGGAGCTCCATGGTGGCGCGCGCCTGCTGAAGGTCCGCCAGCTTCTCGAACAGCGGCACGACTCGCATGGGCTTCTTGACGCCGCACTCACGCTGCAGCAGCTCGACGGCGAGCACGTCGGACGGTGCGGTGGCCATGGAGATGACGTAGGCCCCGAAGCTGTCGGCGGGGAGCTCGGAGATGACCCGGAACGTGCCGAGCACGTCGGCGACCTCGTCGGACTGCGGCAGGTCGGGGCCGAAGAGCGGGCGGTTGCCGCGGAGCTCGTTGACGAGCCACTCCTGGCGCTGCTCCTCGGGCCAGTCCCGGTAGGAGCCGATGCCGAGGTGCGTGGTGATGGCGTCGACGGCGTCGATGTGGCGGTCCGACTCCTGCCGGATGTCCAGCTTGAGGAGGCAGAGGCCGAAGGTGGAGACCTGGCGCATGAAGTCCAGCAGGCTGCCGTCGGCGATTAGCTTGTCCCCGCAGTCGCACAGCGATCGGTAGCACAGCTCCAGAGGCTCCAAGAACTGCAACAAATCCACGCATAGACTGACACTCAATCAAATGTACTATGCTTAGTAAGTATTCTTAAGCTCATTTCTAGTGGAAATGAAATTCGGCAACCTCCTCGACCCTCGTGTAGGTGTCTTCTTCTGGGATGCTCGATTCTCCATTGGACAGGATCTCTCGAGCACGCTCGCAGGTGTTGTACAGCTTGTCCCTCACATCGCCGAGTATGATGCGGTAGGGCTCCCGCGGAGAGATCTTCTTCCAAAACTCTGCAGCATATCGACGAGACCAGGCGAGCACATGAATGTTTGCTAATTCAGACGTGGCTTAAAAGAAATTTCTGGGAGGATGTGAGCACAATCGAATGGGCCGCGCATACCGATGTAGTATTTGGCGAACTTCCGAGAGGACAGCCGGTGCAGCTCGTCGGCGCGAGCCCGGAGCTCGTCGTTGCAGCGCCACATAGAAAGCTGCACACGAGCAAATGCATGGCTGGCGCCTTCAGAAACTGAAACTGGAACAGTGTACAGAAGAACTGGCATCGACTTGGGAATCAGAGGTTGAGGAATGGCACCTCGAACATGAGGCTGCCCATCTTGGAGAAGTACATGTTGGCGGCCATCATCCTGGCGAGCAGGCAGACGTCCCGGGTGACCTCGGGGGTGACCCTGGGGTTGCCGTCGCGGTCGCCGCCCATCCAGGAGGAGAACTGGATGAGCGGGACGTCGTAGGGGAGTCGCTCGTCGATGCCGATGTTCTTGAGCGCCGTGTCCACGCGCCGGAGGAACTTGGGCACGCCGTTCCAGATGGTGTCGTGGAAGTAGCTCATCCCCGCCCGCATCTCGTCCTGCGGCGTCGGCGGCGTCCGCCGGATCTCGTCCGTCCTGAACGCCGCCAGGATCTCCCTCTGAAGCGCCTCGTCGATCTCCTGTTTCTCGTTGTCCGAGACGCCCTCCACGCACAGCTGCGTCAGGCACGTCCGGATGCTGAGCGAGTGAAACAGCGCCATGAACAACACAAACGCGTCAGTTCGTGAAGTTACCTAGTGCTGCTCGCGTGCAAGTACGGTCGACTGATTGATTGATTTATTTACAGGACGTATATACCTGGCGTGCTTCTCGAGGAGCGAGCGCCGGATGGACTGGGTGGGGTGCGCGGTGAAGACGAGGTCGATGGTCTGCGACCTGAGCGCGTCGAACACCTCCTGGGGAGTCTTGCCCAGCCCGCTCACCATCCGCTTGAACGTCTCGTCGATGTCCGACTCGGTGGGCGCCAGGGCCTCGTCGGCGAAGCCGCCGCGCCGGCTCGTCTCCATCTTCTTCTGGTACACCATCTGGATCTCCTCCGCGAGGTTGGCCAGGTTGAGCATGTGCGACAGGGAGCTGGACACCATGATGGCGTCGCCCACGTCCAGGCTCGTGAACAGCGCCCCCAGCTCGCCAAGCTTCGCCGCCCGGTCGCCCAAGTCGCGCTGGTACTCGGCGGACACCCTCAGACACTCCTCGACCTGCACCAGCAATCAACAGTCCCTTGGTTGGTTACTTGGTTTGATTGATCATCGGAGAGAGCATGTACGGTGCAGGAGAATCAAGGAATTGCTCTGTCAGTGCCAGGTGTTTGCTTGCGTACCACTCGTCTGAAGTTGCTGCCGTGCAGGTCCTGGATGATGTCGAGGAACCGGGTGACGAGGAGGGTCTCGTAGTTCTGCAGCCGGTCGTCGTCCTCCGTCGCCCCGCCCCGCGCGAACTGCCGGAGCTGGGCGTCGACGGACTCGGCCACCGCCGCCGCGCGGACGCTGCTCCTCGGCGCCGACCGGGGGAGCACGGCATACTGCGGCAGCGCGAGCCGCCTCCGGCCGGGCTCGAGCTTTATCAGGAGGGTGAACGGGGAGGTGTGGAGCGAAATCATCGCGTATAAAAACTTGACACGCCACGTATCAGCAGGGCATGGCGGGAGAGTACGGCGAGCACGCCGTCCTCTGGGTTTTAAGCAGCGCGGGGAAGCGGAAGAGGATTTGGGTCATTGGGTGGCTGCTGCTAATACTGGCATCTCCCCAGTCTCCGCTGTGGCTAACGATTTTTTTGCCACGCATGCCATACGATTTTTTGCCGACCATTTCGCCGGTACCACGGGGCCGTACCCGTACTCCACTCCATCCGCCTAGGCTGCTAAACCCGCCCACGGCAGCAGTCGGCACACCAAAATCTCCAGGCCTTTGCTGCTGCTGTGAGGGTTATGCGAAGTCGGCCACTGAAATTGCTGCGCCCAATATGGCTCCCCTTTTTTGTTCCTTCTGGAGAACCGACGCTTAGGATGGCTGAAGAGCTGCAGACTGGACCAACAGAGACATGGGGGAAGCTGCTAAACCTTCCTCCGTGACAGTATTGACACTGGACAGCAACAATTTGATAAAAACTAGTAGATGCAACCAAATATCATCTGCGTCGGAAATTCACAAAAATGGCATAATAAATTGGCATCCCAGTATCCAGACTTTGGAATATTCTGTAGACGATGAGACATTATGCCGCTGCACAGATATTCGCCAAAAATGCTAGACATACAAAGACTTACACGCTTTTACACGCTCCTTCCATCTAACAACCAATCACAAATCTCTTCCCCCCTGATTTTCAGGGGGGTGGGCCGCCCCGCTCACCTATTGACCAATCAAGATTAACCATCCTGTAAAAGCCTGTAAATCGTTTGTACGTGTAGCATTGCCAGATATTTGCAAAGCGCGGCCACTTGCTGCAGCAAGAGTAGAAATGACCACCTTCCAGTTCTTCACAGGCCACAGGAACTGAGGACCAGATCAGTCTTATAACAACGGCCCATCATGTATCATCAAAATATGCATTACCATCTCTCAAAGCCCCAGAAAAGGGAAGTGCAATGCCAACCTTTCTTACATACTACTCCCTCCGTCCGAAAAAACTCGAGTACGAACTAAGAAGATCCGAGACATGAAATGACATCTACTCCCTCCGTTCCAAAATAGATGACTCAACTTTGTACTAAGTTAGAACAAAGTTGAGTCATCTATTTTGGAACGGAGGGAGTAGTAGGGATAGAATTCAGTTGCACATCCCTTACAAATGAATAGAATTCTGTTGTAAGAAAATATTAACTTAGTCTGAAATTTAAATTAACCAAACATAAGAAGAATAGTGTAGATACTCCCTCCGATCCGAACTAATTGATGCAGCCTCTACACAATTAATTCGGACCGGAGGGAGTATAAAAAATTGTGCTAACTCTTACTACTCCCTCCGTCCCATAATGTGAGTACGTGATATTGACTAACATGAAGAAAATTCAATTGCATCTCCTGATTTAGATTTTGCTACTCAAATACAAAGTATGGAGGTAATGCAGTGAGACTTCTTAAGAATTATTTTGCCTTTGCCAAAAAAAAAAACATGCTTGCAAATGACAGGATAACTTTTTTTTATCAGTATACCCCCATCTTATTAACAATGCAAAGAGACAATTTTAGTACAAAGCTACAAAAGATAGCTAAACATACTTATTTTATTAGTCCATATCACTACCATTAATAAATAATAAGATAAATTTACATGATGTGGAAATGATTTAACATCTCTACAACCACAGGGATCTAAGATACACTACCATGAACTAAAAAAAAGGTTTAAAAAAAGCAGAGCTACAATATCTAATTACAATGAAGAAAAAGGTGTTATTCACATTTTCACTCTTCATCTTGTACTAGTTGCATATACAGAAAAGGATTGTCATATGCATTCTCAGTTGATATCACTCCAGTTATCATCATCACCTCCCTCATCACTGGCCACAGCCTGATAACATGGAAGTAATCAGGGGGGAACGAAGAATAACCAAAAATCTGATACGAGGGGAAATATCAAGGCAATGCATACCTGCCGGATTGCATTCGCCTTCTCCAAAATTGCTACAACGCTGGAATTGGCAGTGGACTCGGTTGACTGTGATGAGGTGTTTGTCTTAGATCCATTTGTTCGTCTTAAGTTGAATGTCTGCATTGTACAAACATGTTAACAAACCAGTGAGTGGTCCTCTAGTGTGCTGTGGTGCAACTGCAGAGAATCAACAAATCTCAAAGGGCATGAAGAGCTGTGGTACACAAGTACACCAGTTCATATATTTGACATACCTTGCTCCTGATTTGCTGAAGCAACTCCCCCCTTTCATCCAAAATGTTAACATCATTGAATACTGCTTTGGGCTTTTCATGTCCATTCAGCTTGTGCAGATCTGGCTGCAATAGTTTGTTATGTAGAGTGAGGAGAAATGTCAGTATCACATACAACAGTCAAATGCTACAAACTAGGTAATGACCTTTCAAGTTCAAGAATTAACTAACTGTTATTATAAATATTACTGCCTCTGTAACTTTTTGTAAGGCATTTTTAGAGACGGAAATACTTCACGGACGATGTTCGGCTGGACGACACTCACCTGACGGCTAATCAAACCGTATGCTACGGTGTAGACTTGCCCATGGATGGTTGGATATAGCGCGTCGTCCGGGTTTCGGCCGGAACTGTCGTCCATCTAGCAATGCTCATTAAGTTACAGACGGAGTACTTGTTATGGCATTCATTTTATGAACATAAAATGCTAACTCGCTCGTAGTGATGAATCCATAACTTTGATTCTATTGGTCTGACTACACATATCACACATACGAAGTACCACTTCTAACAAATTTAGCCAGCTCGTCACTTATATCCATAAAATTACCAAATAATTATCAAAAACCAACTTCCAGACTGGGGAAGAGGAAGTGGGTTCTTCACTTGCGGTTTTTCCTTTCGAACTCATTGGTGGGAAGTAGCCAGACTGAGAACATAGATAATAAATAACATTTTTTTAAAAATAAAATAAAAAGCAAACAAACCTTATCCCTGATTTGCTGAAGAAAGCTTGATTTGATCTCAAATATATTAGGAAGATTACTCGTTTCTTTGATCACATCAACTTTCTGATGGTTCTGCATGCACAGAGTTCATATAATGTCATCAGCAAGAGATTACAATGACAACCGACACCAAGGTATTCAAAAAAGGGTTAAGTCTTACCACTTCCTTGACATTTCCTTGTGGAAATGGTGGTGCACACGGCGGAAGATGTTGTTCCTGCACAGGAGTGTGTACAGGTGGTAGACTTGAGGCATTCTTAAGTATGTCTTTAGCTGTAGAGTCTCTTTCTTCATCCAGGGAAGTTGTTTGTCTCATTGTCCTCCACTGCATTGGGGGAAGAGGAGGCGGCGGCGGCATCTGATCTTCATCTGGTGATAAATTGACTGGATTATGTGGAATGAGCGCATCTCCATTTTGAAGATTACTTGTTGACATCAAAGTGTCAAAGTTCGGAAGTTCTCCAGCAGGATGGGATTCTAACAAGCCGAGTCCATTATGATCTCCAATATCTGAAAGTGAAACAGTGGACTTCTCACCAGATAAGTTCATCTGCTCGAATCCCATATAGCTAGAGACAGGTGTTGTGGAGGATCCTATCTGATTTGAATCATTATACAGCTCATGATCCTCCAATCCAATTCCATCTTCTTGATCCCACAACTCAGAGTTTGAATATAAACGTGGACTTAGATCATCATATGAAGAATAACTATAAGATCTACCAAAGGTGTCATCTTCTGATTCAGAACCACTACCGGGCTGTGGGACAGAAGACCCTGGAAGTAACTGAAATGTTGGTAACATCATATCATCAACATTTTCATGAAGGTTGCCATCAGAGAAATCTAGGTTCAATTTTGACGTTTCAAATGCACTCATGGGGTGAAAGGATATTTTCATATGCTCTAGTGGCGGAGATGATTTCTCAGAGTAATGGCGACTAGAGAAGATTGATGACTTGGGCAGTCCATCCATGCCATTATCTGCTTTCTTCTCAAACTGAGATGCCTCAAATACTGCTTCCTTTGGTGCAAGAGTAGAATTTACAGTAGCGTCATCAAACCCATTTGCATCAGTGTTCACTCTCCCAGATGAGATAGGGAGATCATTATATTTGGGAGAAGTTCTTCTCTGAAGTGTATTGGCAAGGAATCTTTGTGCAATGCTCGAGAAGCTTGATGCAGACACCACGTCCAAGTTATTCCTTCCAGCCAAGTCAGTGCCAGAGTATGTTCCAGCACCATTTTCAGCATTACCTTCAGATTCTAGGAGCTCACTTATTGAAGCTTGCTTGCCATTCAAATTTTTGTGCTCCCTGTGCTCGAAATATGTGGAAGAATCTGAGGGCCGGTCTGTTTGACCATAAACTGCATCAGGTGTTCTTATGGCTGATTGATTAGTCTCTGAGTAGCTTTGGCTTGCAGAACCAGGACATATGCCAACTGGAGGCTTAGACGGTTCAAGTCCGAAGAGCCCAGCATTTGTCCAGAGCTTAACAGAGGATAATTCTACAGAACTAGTAGGAGCATGTGTGGGAAGGTGTTGGGTTGCAGATCCATTCTCTGATGACTCGTTCAAAGGCATGGTCTGTGAATTAGACACTTCAGCCATGCCACAGCCACCAAATTCCTGATGATTTTCTCCAGGATAATCCTGAGGACTCTTTTCTGAAATTACAGAGTTACCAGTGGTATCACCAGGTAAGATTTTTGCAGGAGATGCCTCACTAGTTGGAGCAAAAGAAATCGCAGGTTCCGGTACAAGACAACTAGTGCTTTCAACGGTACCATCTTCTAACGCATCTTCTACATTATTCTCAGGGATCTGATTGACAACAGACTCCTTGTTGGGAGGAAAAACTGCATAGGTTGACAGCCCTGGTTTTGAAATCTCAGGAGAATCTCTGGGGGCAACTTCTGCCTTACTCTCAGGAATGTCATTTGCATGAGGGGGGCTTTGATTGGGTGGTGTAGCTGTATATGCTTGCAGTGCCGGTTCTGAAATTTCAGTGGGGTCTCCAGCAGCCTCATTTGCATTATTCTCAGGGATGGTGGTAACAGATGACCATTCATTAGGATGTATATCTGTATAACCTGACAATGTATGCTGTGAAATATCCGGAGCATCTGCACTTGACAAACTGGGGAAATTGGCAGTTCTTTCAAAAGTATGTAACATTCTGGAATTTGGACTTGTATCAGGAAACTCAGCGGGAGAAGAATCAGGAAGCTGTGAGACGATATTATCTGCCGACTCTATTTGAGGTGCATGAGCATTGAAGGAATGTACTGGCTTCCCTTGTTTTTTAGTTTGAAAGTCAACTTCAGTCTCTGTCTCGGATTCAAGTGTGTTAAGTGCATCCATGTAGTTATCTGTTTCACTGGGGACTTCATCACGGTGGTTTAAGCCTGATGATAGTAACAACTTTGCCTTCTGAAGTAAGGCCCCCTGCTGCTCCAAGGTCTCCATCTCACTATGATCAAATTCTCGCTGCACGGGCTTAATATGTTTAGTTTCTGCACTTTCAGCCCTGTCCATGACAACATCATCACAGTAGACAGAACTTGTAGTCATAACAATTGCAGTCTTTTCATGCCATTCAACAGAAGGTGACCTAGCATTCATCTCATCTGACAGGGAACCTTGCTTCGAATCATCACCCAGATCATCTTCCCTGTTCCCGCTAAGCAAGATGGGAGAAGAGCCATCATTAAGCTTGTGCGTATCAGTATTTGACAGCTTGCCATGACCATTCTCATGAGGAACTACAGAAGGTTTTGTATCTGAAGCTTGTTCTGCAAAACTTAGTCGTGCCTTTGAACTGAATGAAGAAGATCTGCTTATATTGTCAGGGTTGGATCTTGCATCAGATGTAGATCTATGCTCTGAAAAACTCCGGCCATCCATGCTGGGAGATGCACACTGCCTGCTGCAAAAGAATTACTATGAGTACTGTCCTAGATGTATTATTAAATACACAAGAAAAACAAAGTCATGGACGATGAAAACATATATGCAGTTGTTGTATCTTCGAGTTCGGGATTTGTGTGTAAAACCTGCTGGTAAGTTGAACAGCAGTGAGTGCGCGCTGCAATTCACCATTCCTATGCCTGGATGTGGCTTGTCCATGATATGGTTCTTTTAGGCGTGATCCTTTTCTCTGTCCAAGTTCAATCGAGTCTTTCAGCATAGAGTTACCAACAAGGAAAAAAAAAACTTGCATCTGCCAAACTAACACCAATAAGCCACAACCATCCAATAATGAAGCACGGTAGCTCAGCAATGAATTAGCAATAAAGACTTGAAGTGGATTAAATAACAGTGATAGTTAATTTCAGATTAGTACATAATGGTTGACATGCTCATAGATTAGACTGGAGCAGTAACAACACAAATAAATTGATTTCAAGTTAGTTGTGCCTGTGTATTGACTAAAATAGCTATGCATAGACATTGATCTTCGGATGCAGAAAACGAGAAATAGAACCTTGATTTTATGAGATTTCCTTTCTTTTTGGAGATGTGCAGTCTTGTCTGCTCTCATCACATCCCATGATTTCTTGAAGTATGATGGGTCAGAATATCTCTTCAAACAAGCCCCAGCACCAGCATTATCGAATCTGAAAATAAATCATGTTAGATACCCAAAATCACTTGAAAAAAAGAAAACAAGCATACTTACTTGTCGAGAAGGTAAAGTCGTGGAGGGTCTCGACATTCTTCATAGGAATCCATCATAAACCGAGGCAAATCACTGGATAGGAGATGATTTTGCTCGTTTTGAAGTTGTGTGTGCCAGTCAGAGCCTGCATTTAATTAGCAAATTAAGTAAAGCTGCACAATAATCTTAGACCAAATTGTTGGTTATGGTCAAGAGACAGTTGATTATGAGACTCTGTTACAAATGAGCCGTTTTCTACCATGTTGGTCCCGTAATGGTAAAGCAAAAGTTAGATCGATTATTTATTACTGCCAGCCAGGACTGCTCTAACATTATGGACAGATTAACTTATTACCCAAAAAGGTTTGTACTGATTTAGTGACACCAACCTCAATCAGTTGCCATTTTTTGTTTTGCAAGTTTGCTCTGATTTCAGATTGCCACTGCTAACACTCATATCAGTATGATGAAGTCAACATCAGCCAACTTCAACTACTATCAATACACTTCGATAAATTAGTGGGAACTAAATATGGGCAAAATGATTATTGATGACTAAAATGTGCGTAAGAATCCTTAGCTCGATTTTCTATATTTCTACTTGTGAACACATGTATAGTCATTGATGAAGTAACTACCTGGTACATAAGCAAAATGTATATGGCTCTTCTGATTCTTCACAGCTTTTTCAAGAGACGGAAGTGCTGCTTCAATGTTTTGTACTCGAGTCAGTACCTTACGCCCCCTAGCCGATGTAGTTATAACTTGCTCATGTAGGTCATGAAAAACATCTGCTGCAAATCTGGTATGACCAAAGAATATCTCAGGCTTAGTGAACTAAATGTTAACAATTTAAGATGAATATTAGAGAATTTATAGCATTCCTTGAGTCAACTCAAAGCTAGCAGATCAATTCTGACATTGTCATAAGCATATGGCATTAAAATTTGGGGCGAAATAGGCAATGCAATGACAAATAATAAAAACGGTAAAATCGTAAAAATGACTTCCCAAGAGCGATGACAGTTTTCGATCAACAACCAGTAGAAATTGACAGCAGCCATGGAAACACTTGCACATTAGCCCCAAGCATTCACAAGATACATCTACGAATTCACTCAACCACCCAATAGACCGTCTAGAACAGGAATTTTTCAGAATCACAGTCTACATCGCAAAGAAAAGACACGGTCTTAATAAGATAAATTCATCCTAACATGGGATCTTACCCAAAACATGGAATACCTAGACTACACCAATAGTTCCTACCAATTCAGCAAAGCATGCCTCCAAAAACCTAGCAAAGGCGGTGAAAAACCACCTGATTATAGAGGTTAGCTCGTATAACGCTCTGAAGACACACAATTTGGTTCTACCCGACCCAATCCTAATGCTATTTCGGAAAATGAGCTCAAAAGCCACCGGTGCCCAAAACGAAATATCCACTTCCAGCCAGGCAGCACTGCTACTTTGTCAATAACCGGCGAGCGGAAACCCTGCCATGATTCCTATAACCCGGCACTTAATCTCGCGTAATCGAATGCAACCAGCTCAACACCAGATCCCACTACCTTCCAATCACCCCCAATCTCAAGCACAAACACCTCAACTACACTAACCAGCGACGAAACACTTCCGCAACTGCGGCTGCCCGCCAAAATTAGTACACACGGAGCGCGCCAGATCCCACACTGGAAGGCTGGAAACACACAGACAGACACGCCGAATCAAATCACGCACGAACAACTGAAATCAGACAGCGAGGCAGAGAGAGAGCAGCGGGGACGAGGGAAGGGGAGCGGGCTTACTCCGCGAGATCTCCGAGCTGGCGCAGGATCCCGACGAGGCCCGCGACGGCGACGCCCTCGAGCAGCGCCTTGGGCTCGGCCTCCCCGGCGGCGCCGGCAACGCCGCCTCTCTTGCCGGCTCCCGCGCCGCCGTACAGCCCGGGGTCCCCGAGCCCGACCTCATTCCGCACCTCGAACCTGACCAGCGGCATCTCCACCCACCGAGCGCGCTCCTCCTCGTCCTCACCGCCGGGGCGCGGCCATCGTGACGCCTGGCGGTCGCTATAAATGCGACGCCGCAACGGCTACTTTCCCAGTGGGAGCAGGTGCGCCGACTTTGGGGCGTCACAGGTTGCCGCCTCCGCACGGAAGAGGGCGGCCGAGGGGAGTGACGGGGAGGAGGAGGAGGAGTGGAGGCGACGCCGAGGCGCGTGGCGAGGAGGAAGGGAGGGGAGGGGAGGGGGAGGAGCGTCGGTCTCCGACAGGGTGCGGGGCGAAAGGGACGGTGGGAAAGGGAAGCGCACGCAGCGCTGCGGGCACGAGGGGGGTGGGCAAGTGGCGCGTCCGGTTCCGGTGGTAGTAGTAGGCAGGCGCGGCCTGGTGTGATTATGCCTCCTCAAGCTCAGGCTCGACTTGGATGCTCGATGCCGATGCCGCCGCTATGTTGTGGAGTCGAGGCTGCTGGGTCGCGCGGGGGCCGGGGGTGCTTTGCCACTTCCGGCCGTGCTTGGCCCTTCTTGGTTTTCACTTCCTCGGGCTGCCGGGGTTGGAACATGCGTTCTGTGCCTTGCGTTGCGCCGTGGTCACGTCAACCGCGTGTAAAAAAATGCATGTGTGTGCTCCTAGCCTATCTTTCCCTTTAGCACAAGGGTTTCAATGGTATTTTTACAACAAAAAAATGGAAATGGGAACACTTAAAAGCCGTTCCGAATCCCTCCGCTCTGCAACTCCGCTGCGGATCGGAGCGGCATGCAGTTATATTTCAGCGAGCGGCTGGCAGGGTGCTCCGCGCGGTCCACTCCGTAGCGAAGGAGCGGAGGGTTTGCCGAACACAACCTTAAACCCAACGTCTGATTTTTAAGATTTCCCCGCGAACGCCTAGAATTGCCATCTGAAAACAGATAAAATAGGCATGATATGATGTTTGTAAGAGATTTGTCATACTCTGAAGGGAAAATTGCCATGTAGTATAATAAATGGCAGAAAAATTGTCAAGCCGCGCAAAGTAATTGCCATACGTTCGACCGGGTCTGGCGGTTCTAAGGACGTTTGCTGGGATTGCTTAAAAATCCGACATTCACTGGTTAGTGGCTTCCAAAAGAAAAAGGATTTCTATTGCTATAGGTCTATGTTGCACTTACCACTACACCGTTGAAAACTACAGTTGGTCTTTTAAAACTTTGCGGACAATATCTACATGCATGCTTTTTTCCTTTGTTTATACTTTCCAGAAAATGGATTAAAAAGGAAAGTTTGGGCTTGTAGATTTGGTGTTTTCTGTAACCTATCACTAGAAGAAAATAAAGATGCAATGTGTATTAGATCGCGCGTACTCAAGATGATCTATTCTGGCTTCGGGATGTTGCTGGGTTATAGTTAGGGTAGGCCTAATTATTTAACGGAACTGTCTATAAGATATGGATGCCCAAAAGTATAATGTAGCCTTTTGTAAGTACTTGAGTCTTGACATTAGTAATGATGGTGGTAGAGTGGGTGATGGTGGAGCAGTGGTGCTCAATGATCGTGTCTGCAGTTTTGCAAGGAGCACATGAATGGCATTTAATTTCGTGGCGAATGGATGCCATGACAATGGATAAAACGGCATGACTGTGCTCTCCTGCCAGCTGCTACATACAACTGATTATATGATGACAGATATCCACAAACATATCATTCTTTTTTAACACTTATATCAAAAGTAGACACACATTCTACACCTTACAAAAACATCTAACAGGTATCACTTGATAATGAAGTCATCGGCGGTCCATATTTGAACATACCTTTTTACAATTTAAAAGGAATGTCATGCAAGAATTCAAGTGATATAAAAAAACAGTTAATACTCCCATTGCCTGTATATGGTATAAAAAACAATTAGTACTAGCACAGTAACTTTTTTCCGATAAAGACTAATACAGTGGCCCTGTTTGGATACTCTAACTCGGTTAGAGGTTAGAGTTAGATTTTCACACTGAACTAACCCTGAACTAACCCTGAACTAACTCTAACCAAAGTGGTGTTTGGATGACAGAGTTAGATTGACAATAAACGGTCTTTCTCAATCAATTGGCTACTTTGGCCGAGCCTTGGCCGAGAGCTGCGCTGGCCGCAGACGGGGACACGCCCGGCAAGGAGTCGCACTGGCTTATCGTGCAGCCCGCCGGCCAAATCCGCCGTCCTTACGCAAGGAGCTGCGATGGCCGAGCCCGACGGGACTGGTCGCGCAAGGAGCCGCGACTGCTTACCGGCGGGCGGACGGGCCGCGGGGAGACGAGGGGGTTGGAACGGAAGGATGGGGCGGGGCTGCTTACCGGCGGCGGACGGGAGCGCGGATACGGCGAAGCGCCTTCACGGGCGATGTGGGAAGGAGGGAGGGAGGGAGAGGACAAGAAGCTTCGAGAAAGTGGGGAGGGATCTACTGCGGGGAGAGCGAAAATATATATATATATATATATATATATATATATATATATATATATTAGTGGTCCCGAGGAGAACTAACCCAAATAAGCACTTCTTGGGTGGGTTAGAGCATCTCCACTAGTCCCCCCAAGAAGCCCTCCCCAGGCACTTTTTCACCGCCGGCGAGGAAAATTCCTCCCATTCGTCACCCCAAGACCACAGTTTTCGCCGGATTCGAGGAAAAATACGGCCGGCGCGCGCACGCGAAACTCAGCCCCCCGGGAGGCAGCTGGGGACGCCGGCACTCTCATTTTGCATGCAAATGGTCCACTTTCAGTGTCCCAACACCCTCTCTACTCTCTCTCCCTCTCTTTTCTGCTGGCCCCACCCACGTGCTCACACTCCCTCATCCCCACCCACCGAAGCAGGCGCGCACAGGACGGGACGGGCGCGGCGAGCAGGGCGCCGGAGCTGGGGCACGGGCGAGGCGTCACGGCGGGCGGGCGCCGAAGCTCGCAGGGAGGGAGGGCGCCGGACCAGGGAGGCGGGGAGCTCGCGGGAAGGGCGCCGGAGCAGGGAGGCGGAGAGCTCGTGGGGAGGGCACCGGTTGCGGAGGCCACGGGCGGCCCCGGCACCGGGCGCGGAGGCCACGGAGATGCAGCCGCGGAGCCGGGGAGGTGCTGCAGTCGGAGATGCAGCTGGCCACGGCCGGGTCGGAGGTACGCGGCCACCTCCCGCTGCACGGCGTGCTCGCCGCGGGCAGCCTCCTCCGCTCCCCCGTTCGCGCAAGCATGGTCTTCCTCCTCGTCGCCCGGCCAGAGCAGCGACACGAGCGTGGTCTTCCTCCTCGTCGCCCGGCCAGAGCAGCGGCACGAGCAGAGCGGTCCCGGCGTCGAGGACGCCGCCGTTGGAGTCCCTGATCCAGTTCGGGGCGGTGAGGCCGCCGTAGACGCGCGAGGCGATGGAGGCGAGCGTGTCCCCCAGGCAGGAGACGTAGCGGACGGAGGTGGCCCTGCGGGCGCTGCCGGAGCAGGCACAGGGGACTGGCACGCGCAGCGCGAGGCCGGCCGGGAGGATGTGGCCGTCCGGGCCCGAGGCGGCGAAGTCGATGGCGTTGGCGGAGCGGGTCGGCGGCGAAGAGCGCGGCCAGCTCGGCGAGTTTGAGGTCGGCGTGAAGGGTGTAGGAGAGCAGCGCGGGGTAGGCCGTGGCGGAGGCGCAGGGCTCGAGCATCGCGGGCTTGGACACGGCGTCGGGCGGCCCCGTGCAGGCGACCGCGGCGAGAAGGACCAGGAGGAGGAGGCAGGTCGGGGAACGCGCCGTCACCGTCGCCTGCCAGCCTGCCGGAGCCGTGGCCGCGCTTCATCGCCACCAAGTAGGCTATCCGCTAGCCAGGGCGGTTCGCGTGGTGGTGGTGACTGGGTACGGCAACGAGTGGATAAATATCCATCCCCAGCCTTAGTTTTTCGCCGGCAGCCCCCCAGGCGGCGGAAAAAATGCCTCATGAGGGGCTCAACGGCTAGAGATGCTCTTAGGGCATGTATAATGGGGGCGCTAAGCCAGGGGCGCTAGGAATTAAATCATGACTATTTTGACAATTTTCATGCCATTCCTGGTGCTTTTTCCGGCATCGATGCCCACCTAAGAGTCAGATGCTTAGAAATCACTTACAAAATTCCCTCC